CCAGCGGAGGAGGGTGGGGGGGCTTAGGAGAGGGTAAAGGGGGGATAAATGGTGATGGAAGGAAACTTGGGGTGGTGAAAACACGATACAATATACAGATGATGTATATTGTACCCCTGAAACCTATATTTTATTAGCCATTGTCACCCCAATTTTAAAAAATCAGATGGCTTTCTATGAGATCCCTCTACTGTACAAGAGAACAAGAATATTTATAGAAAATGTGTATGTAAGAAGGTGTTTGGCAGTGTATGAGCAAAAGGGAAATGTGGGTTTTGTTTTTGCTCTATTATTTCTTGTCTGTGTCTCTGCTTTTTAAGATTGAAGCAGCTAGAAGTCTCTTGACAATTGGTATAACATTTAAGCACAGCCGAGACCGGTTTGGCTCAGTGGATAGAGCGTCGGCCTGCGGACTGAAAGGTCCCAGGTTCGATTCCGGTCAAGGGCATGTACCTTAGTTGCGGGCACATCCCTAGTGGGAGATGTGCAGGAGGCAGCTGATCGATGTTTCTAACTCTCTATCTCTCTCCCTTCCTCTCTGTAAAAAATCAATAAAATATATTTTTTTAAAAAAAACAACATTTAAGCATACACAACTTAGTGCTCATTAAATTTTATTCGCATAGGAAAAATTCCAGTAGAGGCATTGTTTGCTAATATAAAACTAAATATTGGTAACAGTTTCTTTCCCCGAGGGTGGTCCCAGTATTGGGGTGGAGCTGTTTGCGTGGCATATTCAGAGTTCTCAATAGATCTATCATTTCACTTTATTCTTTTGGGTCAGAAATGGCCTGTTTCTGAGGAACTAAATCCCTCTGATTTGTTAAGGAAATGTTTCATAAAAGATTCTAAAAGTCAGGTCTTAACTGATTTAGCCTTAGGGTCTGACTTCAAAACCCTTCGAAACCACACCATGGCTTTTGAAGCCAGATTCCCAGCTTTCTGTTCCTGTCCTGCACAATCCAGCTTTGTTTATTCTGGTAACTGGTCTGGGTCTCTCCCCACACTTGTTTGTGGTTGATCACTGAGCTTTTGTTAAAGGGCATGGACTGACTGTATTTTCACTATGTACCCACGAAGCTAAGCATGACTGGTTTTTATTCCCCTATTCTGACAGGGTATGGTTGAAAATTGTGTCTGTGTAAGTTAAGGATGAAAAGATAAGTTTTTTAACAACAGCATTAGGTGTAAAGTGTTAAAACTTCTTTTGTCTCTCCAGAGGGATCAGTAATAGCCACACAACTGGGTTTCAATTAACAGTTTAGCCAAGACAACAAAGTAAGCAGGATCAGAGCTTAAATACTGGAATCCACTGGATCCAGTGTGGGGTTCTTGTCACTAGAATGTGCCCCATCAGCATTTGAAAGAATAAAGGTCATCAACTGAGAAGGAGAAATTCGTTTGGACAGATTCTTTTGAAAATTATCTCTGTATACACATACCCGCATCAGTATCATGTGCTTTGGGGTAGGGCATTTCAGCAAAGTTATGGTATTAGAAATTAACTCTAAAATGTATCCGTTTATTTCAGCTCTGTGATTACTTGGGCAGCACTTACACCACTAATATTGATTTGCTGCTTATTGAACTGGCTGACTAGTGCCCCTGTCTTCTCCTAAATAACTGTGGGAGTGACTGAACAATGCATTAAAAGTCACTTTCATTGAATTGTACACTGGAAACCTATATAATTTTATTCATCAGTGTCATCCCAATGAATTAAATTAAAAAAAAAAAGAACCAATGAGCTCTAGTTGATTTGGCTCAGTAGATAGAATGTTGGCCTTCGGACTGAAGGGTCCCAGGTTCGATTCTGGTCAAGGGC